ACATTCAAAGTGACAATAAAGTTATTGTTATTGTTATTGCATAGGACCTAGAGCATGGGTAGGCAATCTTGGCTCTTTTATGACTCGTGGACTTCAACTCCCAGAATTCCTGAGCCAGCATGGCTCAGCTTGGAAACCTCTCCCTTTCCCCTCAGCATGGCTGGCTCAGGAATTCTGGGAGTTGAAGTCCACGAGTCATAAAAGCAGGGCTTTTCAACCTTTTCACCCATTGTACCACTTTTAGGATATGGCAATATCCGAGCACCACCAGTCGCCTAGCAAGGTGTCAAAAACTTGATGACCAAAAAAAAAAAAAGGAAAAAGTGATAAAGTACAGGTAGTCCTCGACTTACAACNATTTGTTAAAACACCCCTGTAAAAACCTTCTCAATTTACATAATTTCAACGATTTTTTGTCCCTGGCCCCTGCATGCCACCTCTCGGGGTTCCATGTCCCGTCCTTGAGGTAGGCCCTAGGAATGTTGCTGGGCCAGGCCTGCGCGAGGGGTGAGTCGCGCAGGGCCAGCAGGACCGTCCTAGAATACATAGTCCGATGCTAGTTACATAGTCCGATGCTAGTTATATTGCTGTAAGTGCCGTACTTCTGCAGAGAAATGACAAAGGGGACTTACAACCATGCGCTTACACCTCAAAGAAACTCACAGACATGGAAAAGTGATGGGCTATATGGGAGAAGGAAGCTGTTGTGGTAAGATGGGCGTTACTCATTTGGCAATTTCTAGAGGGGAGTGAAACTCTTTTCAAGGTGTGGACTGATCATAAAAACTTAGAAGCACTGAAGACTCCGCAGAAATTATCCCCTAAACAGGTCCGATGGGCATAATACTTCAACCATTTTAACTCTGCACTAAAATACATTCCGGGGGGGGGGACTTCCTGGCTGACGCACTGTCCAGAATGCCTCAATATAAAAGCTGCAGTGAAGAAATAATTAAGGCAATTATTCCCTTACTGCAAAAAGCCTCTCAAGTAACCATCAGGCATCAAGCCCAAGGACGATCTGTCGAACAGCCGCTTGATTCAGAAACTCAAAGATGAACTGAAAACTGACCCCTGGTTCAATGACAACAGACAGCTACTAACTTATTGAGATGGGCTGGCTTGGAAGGGGTCTAAATTATACCTTCCTAGTACCCTAAGAATCCAAACCCCCCAGAGGAACCATGATGCTAAACAAGCTGGCCACTTTGGGTTTCTGAAAACTCTACATCTAGTGAGACGGCAGTTCTGATGGCCCGGAATGAAAAAGGATATTGAGAGTTATGTGAAGAGCTGTGCAACTTGTACTGCCATGAAAAAACAACCTGGAAAGCCACCTGGACTATTAAACAAATGACAGACCCTTCCTAACCATGGGAAGAAATAGCAATGGATTTTATTGTGGAACTGCCTAAAAGCAGTGGGAGTACTGTAATTTGGACTGTCATTGATCTCTTTTCGAATCAGGCTCACTTCATTGCTTGTGGAACTGCCCAAAAAAACTAGCCAAGCTATTTTTGAAACATATCTACTGGCTCCATGGAGTCCTAAAGAGGATTATATCAGATAGGGGAGTTCAATTCACTGCAAAGTTCTGGAGGGTGTTTGTGAAACTGATTGGGTCAACCCAGGGGCTCTCCTCCGCTTTTCATCCGAGCATGAATGGATCGTCTGAATATATGAACGCAATGGTGGAACAATACCTTAGATGCTATGTCAACTATCAGCAGACTAACTGGGCAGATCTCCTGCCTTTTGCTGAAGTATATAATAATATGGTTCATAGTAGCACTAGACTCTCCCCATTTAAAGTAGCAACTGGCAGGGAATTTGTTCCTATGCCTGAGTACCCTCAGGAACCCCCTACCTCACAAACTTTAAATCAATGGATAATATCCCTGCAGAGTGCTTGGATAAACATTAAGCGGGCCCTAACTCAAGCTGCAAAAGTATACAAAGAACAAACCAATAAGTGGTGGTCTCCTCAGAGACCGTTTTATATGGGGGAGAAAGTTTATCTATCTGCTATGTATCTAAAATTGACATTACCCAGTAAGAAATTAGGACCTAAGATCCTCAGTCCTTTCCCTATAGTATAAATTATCAATCCTGTCACACTTGTGTTAAAACTCCAATGATTGTTAGGAAAAGCTCACCCTGTCTTCCATTGCAGTTTATTAAAAACAGTCACAGAGTCAACATTAAGGCCAATTCCCAAAAAAGCACTGGGTCCCATTATGGTAGAGGATGGGACTCACTATGAAATAAAACGCATTCTTGATTCTAGATTATAAAAAGTGAAGTTGCAATACTTGGTGCAGTGGAAGGGTATCCTTTATCAGAAGCAACATGGGTGAAAAGTGGGGATGTAAAGGCTGAAAGGTTAATACAGAGATTTTATGAGAAACATCCCCAGAAGCGCAAGGAGGATTCTTAATTATTATTTCTGTTTCTTTCACAGGAATTGCTTTCTCCTTGGGGGGGGTCTGACTGTCAACTCTACAACAAACCTGGCTACAGCCATTTTTGTCATTCTAGGTTGCCACAAGAAAGGGAGGGGGGAAAGGTATTTCTGGTAGCCTAAACATGGGAAAATCTTGTGGGAATCAAGGTCATTCCCACACCCTAGTGGAAGAGGAGGATCATTTAGTCAGAAAGCCCACCGAGTCATTCTATTAGATAGCATTAGTAGAGGGATGGGAATTATTACATTGTATTACTTTGATTCTAGGAGGGAAAGTTTAGATTTGGTTTCACTTTTGACCATGCTGATGCTATGCATCCAATAAACATGTTCTTTGAGAAACTTTCCTACCTCAGGGTACTGATTTATTGGTCTCATTCGTCGTAACTTTGACACTTGGTTTGCCATTACTTTCTTCTAGAATGGTTTTTTCAGATTCCCATATAGCCTACAGCCCTGGAATATTGTACTGGTCTCCCATGTGACTATTAGTTAGACCCAAATCTTACTTAGCCTTTCAAAATTGACCATACTACAACTTGATATAGGTGTTAAACTTAACATACTCAGGTATTAAAATCTTAACATACTCAGGTATCAAAAATGTTTATAGATTTTAACTTTAAAAGTGGCATTGCTTTGGGAAGCAGTAATTGGCAGTTGAGGATTTTCTTCTTGGTGTTCAATATAAGTAAAAGCTGTATATAAATAAAAGCAAAATGCTCCAGAGATCTCTATTGGTTAAGGTATGCAATTGGGTGATATTTTTAGTAGTTTTCTGGAATTTTGAACGAAATCTGAACTTCTTTGCTACTTATCTCTATACAGTTGTATGGATAATGGCCCTCATTGCCCACCTCCATATTGTGGTTCATTGTTTAAAGTTACTGCCACAAAAATAATTGCGAATGAAAGTTCTACTCCCTGACCTTTTATACTGCTCAGTAATAACTTTGTTTTGATTTCAGTTATATACCTGGCATATTTACTTCACTCTTTAAAATATGTATATTTATTCCATTCCCTACATGCAAATTTTACCCAATAAAAGATAATCCTATATGCACATTTTGAAGCTTTTAATAAACTTTCCAGATTGTACTTGGCAATGAAAAACATTTTTTTAAATTTATACCAATATTTTTAGGTATAGGATAGGATAGCATTGATCACCAGTGTCTCACAACTAATATACAACTCCCAGCACCCCCAAAATTATTCTGCTACATTTAACCAGTGCAATATTTTCAAAATCAAAGGTGCAAATGGGGTTCTTGTTGTTATATTCCAGAGTCACAATTTGCAGGAGCAACTTCAGCCCTTTGGAGAGAGATTTGAGAAGATAGGAATGAGAGAAGGTGACTACTCCTGTGCCCACCCTTTAAATCCCCAAGCAATATCAAATAAGCCAAAAATTCTGACTTTTCATCTCCATGTTCATTTTGCTTTGGTTTAACGTTAAACCTAGTTTCAAATTTACTGTTTTCTTTATGGAGCTTACATAAATCGTCTAGTACTTATTCTCAGATTGAGATTGTTAGATATCTTTCTTCCGACAGTGACCTCCAAAAACATTTAGTTCTCATAATTCCCAGAGTCAATTACTTCAACAAATATGTATATTTCGTTCCATTTAGGACCAAGATCTTTCTGTAGTCTTTCACTCTATCTTGTAGCAAGTCATTTACTTGGCCAAATATAATTGTAAGCTACCACATTTGAACAAGATCTTTAGCATTTGTCATTCCATTGTCTCAATTGAGCCTTGTTGACTCAAATCTTCTGTATCTGATTTCTATAGGTTCTACATCATCTATATATGTATGCATAGAATAGAATAGACTAATAATTTTATTGCCACTTTGAATATACACTATACACTACAATATACACTAAAAATAAATAAATACAGAATTATGCATATACCCACATATATTATATGACACAGAGGAACAACACTGTCTAGTTCGGATTATGTACACATGTGCGTGGAGAGAAAAACAAATCTTGGAGTTTACCAGACAGATAGCATAGGGAACAAAGCTATTATAGAATCAGGTAGTCCTGCTAGAAATACTTCAAAACCTATTTCACTTTCTCGAAAGAAATTGTATACCATTTTTGCAAAACCAGTGAATTTTGTCAATTAATTTACTTGCTAATCTTTTATGTTAGTTTAATTTCACCCAAAATATATTATCTTAGTAAATGATCCTCATTCAGTAATAGTGAAAGTGTAGATTGTATTTCTTTGGTGGAAATCAAGAAATTATTGTGCTCACAAACCTGGTATATCAAGTAATGACACTATTTTATTACAAGTAAATTATTATTTTAAATGACAGCTTATTTAACTTCTAGGGTTTTAACTTCAACAGATTGTTGCTAGAAAAAGTACAAACGTGAAATACCTGGTATAGTTTTTCTTTGTTTATTAAACATTTTGAAAATAATTTTCCTTCAAAAAAAACCTTCAGAAACAGTGTGAAAATTTTACCATAGTGCCTAGTTTTAAATTACTTTTTTTCTTCCTTAGATGAATCCCAGACAGTGGAGCCATATATCTGAAAGTGCCAAAGATCTAGTTCGGCGTATGCTTATGCTTGACCCAGCTGAAAGAATAACTGTTTATGAGGCACTTAATCATCCTTGGCTGAAGGTATGAAGAACAAAAATCTTAAAAGATCTGAAAGTCCTTTCACATATTTATTTACTAACATGAATTACATTCTTACAAGTCCATTGATAATTTATGTAATAATTTATTGCACTTATTCTATAAGTATCCATTGTTCTGGGTAACTTATTAGAATACATAAATACAATTCTCAATTCACTTAAAATTTTAAAATGACATTAAAACTAAAATATTAAAAATTTGAGTAAAAAAGTACCAGTTTATCTCCCCCCAAACTGTACTAAGACGCCAGATGGAGTATGCCAAAAAAAGCGGCATTTATTATTGATATTAAATATATTTGTGGCCAAAGGCTACAAAAGTAACCCAGAGAGGACTGTAACTATTCGGAAGATTGTATATGAATAGGTAGCCGTATTGATAATTTTACCCTAAACCCTCTTTTTTATTTAAAGATACATTGAGTTCTTTACTCTTGTTTATTTCTTTTTTGAAAAAAAAATAGAGAGTAAAATATTCTTTGCAAAAACTAGGATAATTGCTTTTGCAAGAATGTTAAGAGATTATTTTATATCTAAAATCCAGTATTTGCTTTTGATTCACATTTTCTATTAATTTAAAATATACAGATTAAACCTTTCTAAAAGACATAAAAAGCTCAATTCAAAAATGGAATAATGAAAACCAGTAAAATTAAATATTAGGAAAACATTCAGCCAAGATATCACTAAAATAACTAACTGTATGTTAGAACTCAGCAATATAAAATTCAAAGGCAAAGTAATCAAATAAAGGTTTACACCATAAAGATCTACAAAGATTTTTGTTACTTAGTTTGTTTTGTATATCATTACTAAATGGATTAACCAAATCAGACAATCCTTTATAAATAAAGTTTCAGTTGGCATAAATATCTAAACAGTAGTAAATAGTCCTACATTTCCATGATGAGAGTTATTCCAGAACATCTTTAAGAATTATTCTAGGAGCTTGTTCTATTTAGTGGTATTCTTTTAAAAATTATAAATTTACATAAATTTCCTTTAGACAAATTCTTTACTATTCAATTGCTCTATTACATCCAAGAATTCTCTTTATAAATGCATATGAATATACATACATATGTATATATGTACAGTATATAAATTTAAGCCAACATAGTCAATTTGCACCAAAGGTCTGGATATAGATTAAAAAAATTTCTACCAAAATTACTTGAACATTTTCGCACCAAAACTTCTCATACATTTTCTGCAGTCATTTTAGTTGTGTATCTTGTCTCATACTTTCTTCTGTACCTGCAATAACTACTACTGTTACTATGGGATCAAAACAGCCGCCAACATCTTGTACAATCCTGTTGTTCAAAATGAAAAGGGAAGGAATTTAACACTGAAACAAAGTTGGACATAATTATGTTGCAACAAAGCTGGTGAAAGATCTCTGGCCTTTGGCAAATATACTAGACAGAACATTAATAAAATTCATAGTGCCATGATGCATTCCATATCTTGTATGCCATGATAAGCATATGCATTAGAAATCCAACTATAGAAAAGACTATACCCTTGACACTGTGTCCTACACCTTTCTTTTTTCCACCAATTCAACAACTTGTTTATATGAATTCACTTTATAAAATGTTTTAGGAGAACATAATCCTAGTGTGAAGCTAGGGAAACCTGTGCTGATAATCCCATTGGGCAAAATTTGTAACCATAAGATGATAGTTGGCTGCTACTAATCTTTGATACCCATAAATATATATTCTCAAGCCCTATTCACTAAGCAGAGCAATATCTAATCAGAAGGACAAGTACTCTGTCTCATACCCTCTTGTTTGCAAATAGCTTTTTATGTGCTCTGAAATCAAAAGTAGTTAGATAATTTATAAACAATGTAGACTGATTTTTCATTTTATTTGGAATCTTATATAAAAAGTGCTTTAGTCTCATGTTTGTGAAATACTACTGAATATAAGAAAATTACATTACTGTCTATAGGAGCGTGATCGCTATGCATATAAGATTCATCTTCCAGAAACTGTGGAACAGCTGAGAAAATTCAATGCAAGAAGAAAATTGAAGGTAAAAGAACAATAAATAGCACACCTATGTTAAACTTATGATACAGGTTTGTAGCAATAATACATCATACAAATTGACTGGCTGTGTTAGGATTCAATTTGGAATAGATACTTCAGGATGTACAAGAATATGAACACAGCATTTGTCTGCTGTTTATCGAAGCAGCTACATCTGTTTCCATGATCACAGTAAAATCATGTGCATTCCTGGAAATGGACCCAGCTGATTTAATGAGTCTGAGATGCTACATTTATGTTCCCATGTATTCCTCAATACTTCTTCCAAATCAAATATGAACATTCATTGCATAATCCCATTATTTAATTGAAAAATGCAATATATTTTTTGAAATCAAAAATTGGCAGAGATATTTGTGACTGATGTATACTTTTCAGTAAGTTGTTTTGTGGTCTCAGAAGTCATGGATTTTTTACATATACATCTCTCCTTTAATATAAGACTATACTCTTGCATATCTGATTCTCCATGGAGATTCCGTCGTTGATAAGAGAAAAATTCCCCTTTGAAAGTATTCTTTGTTCTTTATAAATATCAAATCTGGGGTCATTTATATAATGATTAGAGCATAGAACCTTCTACATTAAAGAAGGCTTGATGGAGTTGCTCTCTTCCTTTATTTACATTAGTAGAGATAATGAATGTTTTTGACTTCTACACATCTCTCATAAAATATATAAACAATATGTAGAAGCAGCTTTGATAGCAATATCTGAACCAGCTGGGACTTAAAACTATAAATCTAAAGCATGTTACATTGAGATAAGCATTAGTTTTTCTAGAATTTTCACAGCACAGCTAACATTCATTCATACAATACTTTTTCCTCATAAATGTTATAAAAGATGCTTTCCTTTTTTGGTACTAACCATAGAAACAGTATCAAAAATCCTCTCAAGCACATGTGTTCAGCTGCTGCAGTATATATTTGGGCAGAGATAAACCAAAGGATTATTTATTTCCTAGTTATCACTTTTACATAGAGACAATATTGTTTGAGCTAGGCTTCATTCAGTTAAGAGGATAATGTCAGTGGTTAGAATTTAGATATCACTGCAGAGCAGTTTCTTCTTTAATTCAGTCAACTAAAACAGACTGGTCATGGTAAACAAACACAACTGCATTAATAGATCTCTTTAGACTAATAAGGTTTCTTTTTACATCCTAAGTTTTTGTAATCAAGACACACTTTTTTATTTGCGCCAAAAATAATTTTTAAGCTAGTTTAAATTATTAAAATAATATAAAACAATTAAGCTTAATTATGCTTTCTTATTTATATACAGTTGTCAGAGAAAATTTATTGTTTTGAGTTGCATAATATAGTAGGTGATGGGTACCTGTACTTTTGTCAGTTTGTGGAAACATTCTAAAGGTCATAGAAAACTAATACTTGTTCCTTTCATTTCAAGAATTGCTTTGCATATCTCAATTGAACTAGGTTCTTGGTTATTTTTTTAGTATATTAACAGAAATTTGGAGAACAATTTTTGTCCTACTTCATTATTATATGTCACATTCTTTGTCTATGTTTTTTTAATTAGAGATTTCTTTTTTTAATTCTCAGCATAGTTCAGCAGGTAGATATTTGAGTTTGAAGGCTGGACTGTCTTATTGGAACCATGATTGCAGCTTCACATTTATTATTTAGTTTCTATCTTTCAATATTTTTATAACTGACTTGGATAAAAAAAGAAAATTGGTTATCAGATTAGTAGATGACACATTGTCATCTGCAAATATTGTAATAGAATCTTAATAGAATGTTGAAAATAGGAATAAAATTCAAAACAAACAATTGGGTCAGAGAAAAGGGCTAAAAATAATGGAATTAACAAATGAATAGGATGTATTCATACTTGGTAACAGTACTTGCGAAAAAGATTTTAGAATAATAGTTAACTGCAGCCTGAATATGAATCTGTAGGGTAACCAGGGCAGATGAAATTTTAGACTGCATCAACATAAATACAATTTCCAAATTATGGGAAGTAATAGTCCCACAATTTTAGTTTGATCATGTTACAAATAATATATTGTAACTAGTTCTGGGCATGATATTTTTAAGAATGATTCAGAAAAATGTAAACAGGTTCAGAAAAAAAAAGCTGTAAAGATGATTAACAAGCTAGGAGCAATCCTGTGAAGAGTGTCCATATACTGGAGAGGATATCACACAAAAGGTCAGGACCTGTTATTAATCATTCCAGAATGCAAAATGTAAAATAGTTTCTTTAAATTGGAGAGAGGGAGATTCCAGTGGCTGTTAGAAAAACTTCCTAGAAAAAACTGCCCAGAGAGATGATAGACTCACTTTCAATAGATCTATTCAGGCAGAGACTAGACCAGTGGTGGTGAACCTATGGCACACGTGCCAGAGGCAGCACTCAGAGCCCTCTCTGTGGGCACGCGCACCATGCCCCAGAGATGGCAACTGTCCCTCTTCAGCCAGCCTCCCGCTAACTCGCCGAGGTCACACATGGCTGGATGCATCCCAGCACCCATGCGCTCACTGGCTTCTGTGTGCAGGGGCCGATGGTGTCAGGCAGCCTCACCTTGTCCTGTGACAATGGCACCCCTGCCCTGCCTCATCTCTCCCTGTAGGACGAGCCTCCTGCCCACCGCCCCACCTGCCAGAGACCCCCTGGATATCCCCCAACCCTGCCCGGCCCCCACAGGCGTCCCTCCCCACGAGCAACATTGAGGTGATCACGCCCACCTTTGCCACACCCACCCAATCTGCCATGACCACCACAGCCACGCCCATCCAGTGGGCCACGCCCACCTGGCACCCGGCGATAAATAAGTGGGTTTTGGGTTGCAGTTTGGGCACTCGGTCTCTAAACAGTTCGCCATCACTGGGCTAGACAATCAGGCTTTACGCAGTGAGCATGGGGTTAGAATTGATGCCCTAAAAGCTCCTTCCAACTTTATATATCTTGTAATTTGTTATGTTTATTAAGAAGAATTAAGTCCAGGACAGTGAATTTTGTTTTCCATCTTCTGCCTTCAGAAAAATCATGTTACTAACCAGACAAGAAAAAACAATTTTGAATGTTTCATTCTCAACTAAAAGATATGTCCAGTAGAGAACAGGAGTGTTCAAAATTTTCACTATTAAGAGTGAAAAAACTCTTATCAGTTTCAAGGACAAAGCAGATATGCCTTCCAGTGACCAATTTGTGTATAGTATTAGTTTATGTATGCTAATCCATAATATTTTTATAAAAGATCAAAGAAAAGAAGCTTTTCTTTTATCCTGGACGTATGCATGGCACTAAGTCTCTTTACAGATGACCTTTGGCTAGCTTGTACAATTCTAAAATATTTTCAGAACTGTATGTCCAGTTGAAAATTTCCACACCATTTGGAAATAGCCAGTTTATTATGCAAACACTTAAGATTCTTCTGATTAATTCCAACGGTGAATATTAATCTAAAGTGATTCATAAAATTTGTTGAAATAACATTGTTGTGCAATTAGTAACAAGTTTTATTTATCTAGGGTGCAGTACTAGCAGCAGTATCAAGCCACAAATTCAATTCCTTCTATGGTGACCCCCCTGAAGAACTGCCAGATTTCTCAGAAGACCCTACCTCCTCAGGTACTTTTATCAAAAGTATATTAAGCTGTTATGTAGTTTTACAGATGCTTCCAGAACCAGGTAAGACCTCATTAAGATAAATTTGGCTTTACAGAATTTTTCCTATAGACCAGACATATCAAACTCGCAACGTCACGTGACATCACGCAACGTATTGGAACGGTTTTGCCATTGCCGGCAATGGGGTGGTGCGGCTTCCAGGTGATGCGTCTGGCCCACGGGCCGGCAGTTTGACACCCCTGCTGTAGACAATGCAAAAAATGATAGATAGGATACTATGCAAATGGTGGTCTACTTTATACAAAAACCTAATGCAGAAATTACTGGGATAGCACATAAACTAGGGACTGACTATATTTTGACAACTAAATTATTTGAGTTCATGCTTTCAATTATTTGTTTAAATGGTGCTGTTAGAATGCTATAGTTCTAATTTGGTCAATGTTTTTACTGATGTATCATTATTTTAAATGTCCAAACCAGTTCTGAAGTCAGTCTAGAGTTGTGCAAATCCCCAACCATATTAACATCTTTGAAAATTTGAAGACAGATCTAATTAACTATGTAAGCACAGTAAAGACTTATATACAGAAATACAAATATGCTTCTTGAGTTTCTGCTTATTAAAAGTTGCATTATATTACTAATATTGACAAATCCACTACCAAAGAAGATAACTTGGTCAGTTGTTGTAACACACGAGAAATAAAGACAATTCTCTTGCTCTTTTAATATTCTTTGTACTATTGCAAAAAAGAAAAATGAAAGTAATTTCTGACTGTTCTTTTTTTCTTCTGTATCTTTAATTGTAGCCATCCTTGTATTGTTGTTTGGAGAATATTTGAAATAGCAGAAAAGTTTTCTTCTGTAAAAGTCTCAGTGCAAATCATGTAGGAAGACATAGCAGGCAGACTTTTGAGGACTTGGAGAATATGAACTGTATTATTTTACCCTTTTGCATTTTTTATCCCTTATAGCCCAACTGAAGCAAATTCTTATTTTTTTTCTTTCCCATGATCTTTCACCCTGTTAGAGGGATAAGGAAAGGGAGGTAGTCCTTGACTTACAACAGACCCACAAAAGGTACTTATGGTCAGGTCTAAAGCCCCCCCCCCAGTCACATGCTGCATTTTGGGTACTCAGCAATTGACCCACATTTAGGGCCACAACAGTTTAATGCCTTTTAGTAGCCCTGAAGCCAGCTCAGGCTCCCCTGGATGGCTGATTGGCTGGATTGGCAGCAGGCCAACGCCTGCAAGGACACAGTAGCTTTGCACATATAGCCCCTGCAACCAATCTGAGGCTCCCCTAGGTGGCTACCTCGGTTGGAACCAACCGAGGTCTCCTGACCCACAGCAGGTTTACATCTACCCGTGAACCCAGGATCCCTCCAAACTGTTGAATCACTCCCTCACTCCACTTAACAACCCACATGGTTGTTTGACAAAAGCCAATAGGTGAGCCAGGATGGTGGTTGTTGAGAGAATTAGTCATGTGACATCTCATTTAACAACTGCTTCATTCAGCAACTGAGATTCTAAGCTCAACTGTGGTTATAAGTCAAGAATTACCTGTAGTTGGAAATAATAAAGGTAGTGAAACTAATACGATTTACTAATGTGACTATGCTAGCTGAGTCGAGCTGTTCCAGTTTTTTCTTTGTGCATTTATATACATTTGTATATATTTATGTGAAGACAGTATTTTGTATGAATGATTTAACTATATGTGTGTAAATACAAACACACACAGAGAGATGACATAAATTACTTTGCAAATAAGATTTCATTCTTCCAAGCAATTTTTGTCAATAGTCATAAATGTGTTAATATTTATTTTTTGTCTTAGTGAGATTGGCGGCACAGACATTTAATAAATGAATGCATATTTTTCTGACTATTGTATTGCATACATGTGTATGTATATGTATGTAATGTATGTATGTATGTATATATGCATGTGTTTATGTGAATACATTTCATGTAAAGGCTCCAGTATAGGCTTCAGAGATGGTTGACAACTTTAGTTGACAAAGCAGGAAAATTAGGTAGTGCGGATATTTCCCAATACAGTTAGTCCTCATTTAACGAAGATAATTGGGACCATCACTAAGTGATTCAGTCTTAAAGTATGACATGTGTGTAAGGCCCTGCCTCAGCTGAATCTCTCAAGAAAGCAGAACTAATGAAACTGGCATCATTTCAACAGAATCTTTTATTGAGCGTTAGTGAAAGCAAGAGAAGGCAGGTAGGATCTGAAAAGCCCACGCGAATTCACTAGGTTACACACCAAAGTTTAAAACCCCTCCCAACTGCCCAGTCCATAGGAGCCAATCCAGAGGCGTTAAAATGTTGTGAGAACTACGGGTGGAGACAGTGATTAGAAGTTGTTTCCTAGGCATCTCTTCAGTGGTGAAGTGGAGCAGATGGCCTCGGGCAATTCCCTCCCCCCCTTTACATTTCCCAGAAAGATATCAAGTGAAGAGGAACTGAGTAAACAAAGCAAAGCTAAGCACAGTACAGATGAGCTCCAAAGGGTCCCCCTACCCTCAGAATGGCAGCATCCAGATAGAGATCTATAGGGACCTGACAATGTGACTGCATTGCTTAGTGACAGAAATTTCAGCACTTCCCGTTGCTGTTGTTAAGCAAATCCTGTGGCATTGTTAAGGAAGGACATTACATGGTTGCCATTTGCCACCACCTACCAACTTCCCCATTACTTTGCTTGTAGGAAGCCAACAAAAAAGATTGCAAATCTTCTGGGATTCTGTAACTTTGTGATTGTGAGCCAGGCACAGGTCATGATCATCCAGATCATGTTCATGTGACCATGGAGATGTTCTGGCTGCTATAAGTATGAGGACCAGTTGTAAGTACCAGCCATTCAGCCCCATTGTAAGTGAATAGTCACTGAACAAATGGTTAAGTGAGGGTCACCTATGTAACTTCCTTATGTCCACTCTTCCTTTGGGAAACAGTATATTGTCTTAATTTTCTTTGGGATAAAAAGGATCATCAGCTTGATAAAATAGTTTATGTGAGTAGACTTTGGATTCATATATATCAGAAATATTATCAAAAAAATGAAAATCCCTCTAAGTATAAGCCACAATAAAAATTAACACTAGGAAGAAAAATGAAATATTTAAATTGCTTCAAATACTATTAATATTTGGAATATAGGGACATAATTCATTAATTTGCCCCAAATACTATTAGAATTTGGAATACAGAGACATAATTTATTTATTTAACCAAGTTTGCTAAATGGGATCTTTTGGAAAACCATTATATTATTATTAAAAGGAAATACACAGATTTTTTTTTCCTGTTTGATGGTTATTGATGCTTTTGCTATACTCATTTTTGTAGAGGATAAGTGGCACTAAATTTTATCAAAATTATGTATATATTGCAGTATAGAATTAATATATCCAATCAAAGTGGCACATAATATGTATTTTCATATTCTTTCAGATTTAATACACACATGCACATATTATAAATTTTCAGATGATTGGTCTTTTCAATGTAAAAAAGATTTAGTAGTTTTCTACTTGCTCAGCAATCCTTTTTTAATTTATTTACTGGCATGATTTTGCTTTCTTGTTTTAAAATAACATGCGCTAGTGGGACATGTGAACTCCTGGATTTTGCTTTAGATTTTTTGTTTAACTAAAGCAATTTTTTTTTAGAATTGTGACTTGTAGAATGCAGTGTTAGAATTCTGACTTGTAGCTAAGAATAATTGACTTGGAAATCTTTAATAGAAATCTCATGAGGGGGGATATGATAGCAGACAAGGTTATAGAGTCCCCGACGGTGTTTCTTCTCCCTCAGTTCGATAAGAGGTTTCGCGGACTTCCGTCCTGTTCTTCGTTGCCCACCTTTGATTAGTTCCTCTCTTCGTTGGATCTTGATTCCTCTTTGAAGGACTGTCAATCTTGTTAATTGGTCACCTTGTTGGACGGAGGTCTTCGCCACTTACCTCCAACACTAGAAGTTTTTAAGAAGAGACTGGACAGCCATTTGTCCGAAATGGTATAGGGTTTCCTGCCTGAGCAGAGGGTTGGACTAGATGACCTCCAAGGTCCCTTCCAACTTTACTACTACTACTACTACTACTACTACTACTACTACTACTGTTGTTGTTGTTGTTATTATTATTATTATTATCATGAACTCACTAGAAAACTTTCAGTAAGCCTCTTAAACACAGCCTCCATACTTCGAGCAGTTATGAGGGCAATATCTAGTTATGTTACAAGCTGGGCTAAAATGATTTGAAGATTCAGAAAAGCTATATAAATACTATTAGTAAGTATGATTATTAGTAATTATGTATATACAATATTTTTATTCTTTTTTATTTCTAAGCTTATAGAATGCGGTACATTTTCAGAATGTATATTTTAACCATCTTGCTCTTGGCAGCCGAACAAAATTGAAAACTAAGGAAAAAGTCAGTAGAAACATCATTTTAAACATCCTGATTCTGCTTTACTTGGTAATGTGAACATATTATCTCTTTTTCCACATACAACTCTTCTCTTGATGCATGTTCAACTCAAAATACATAAGATCCTCATACATTAAGGAGAATCCACATAGTATATCCAGTTTTAGGGATATTTAAGAAAAAAAGCCTTCAGAGCAGTTTTATATTAATAGTAATTGATTATTTCCACATCATAACTTTAATTACTCATGGTTTGCTGCTTAACCATTAATAGTTTGCTTTTCTCGATTCTGACTTGTTCCACCACTCTGTCCTCTGCCTGCTCAATCTCATACATTTTTGCAGCACTGTGCCATAATAAGAAAATTATATATTCAGTAAAATATGGTAGAGGAATAACTTATTAAGTAATACTATATATGCACGTCTGTATCTTGCTTAAAAATCAAATTCATATTTTTGTCAGAGGGAGAATAAAGAAACTTTTCACCTTATCAGTACACAAAAACTTACCCTACATGACTTTCAACCACTAAGGT